CCATCACCGAGACCACATCCTTTCTTTTCTGGACATTTCCAGAATGGGGTAAAACATCTCCTTTCAGTCCCAGGCCACACCCCTGCCCCCACGTTCTCTCATCTGTGGCTGAGTCTCTGGGCGGCTGTAGTAAGTGCTCTACTTCAAAACCTGTGGTGGGTTTGGTGGTGAGATGGCCCGATGACCTCTGCACCCCCAGTTCAGCGGTGGAGTCGGCGCGGCTCCTAGAATGCACCACCAGAGCACTGGTAAAAGTCACCTCTGAGTCCACTTTCCCCAGTGCCTCTCCCACTCGCTTGCAGCCTGAGCATTAAAAAGTGCAGCCGCCCCTCATTTTATGCAAGGGCAGTGCTGAGAACTACCTGTGCACTGATCACATTTTGGCAACTCCAGTTGCATTTTAAGTAACCGCACTCATGGCAGGGCATGCGGGGCACACCCCTGTGAAATGCACCGCCTTCCATCATGCTCCTGTCACGGGATTCATTTTCAAATTCACTCATCTCCCTTTTTTCAACCCTTGCCTCCCTATAGTCCATTTTGCAAAGGCAGCCAGAGTGATCTTTTCAAACAGTAAATCAAACCACACTGCACTGCGGCTGAAAGCCAGCGGGAGCAAGCGCACATCTCAGAGTTCACGACCTCCGCCACCTGCGTTCCCTCTCCCTGAAACACTCTTCCCTCAGACCTCCCCAGGTCTGTGTCCATCCCCAAAGGCCCTCTTCAGAGCTGCCTTTCTGTCCACTCATCTGCAGGGGCCAACCTCGCCCCCAAACCAGGCAGCCACTCTCTCGCTCCTAACCTCGTGGAATTTCCCCTGTGGCTTTCATCGCTGTCTGAATTTCGCTTGCTTACTTACTGCCCTCCACGCTAATGTCTATCTCCCTTACCAAAAAATCACCGGGACAGCAAAGATTTCATTTCATGTGTGCACTAGTGGATCCCCAAGTCCCAGAACAGTGCCCAGCACAGAGTAGACAGCCAGAAAATACTTGTAGGTGAGAGGGAAGGAGGGTCAAGGACAGAGAGGGAGGGAGACAGGGAAGAAGGGAGGGTTAAGGACAGGGAGGGTTGGGAAGGAGAGAGGAGTAGGGGAGAAAGGTAGGGAAGAATTAGGTCCCAGGAGCAGCTACTGCTAGGAGCTGCTGGTGTTCCCCAGGTACAACTTGGGGCCTTAGAACAAGGGACTAGTCACGGAAGGGGGACGACAACAGAGAGAATGCAAGTGACAGTGTACAAACCATGTGTTTTTGAAGAACTGTAAGAAAGTGCCTGAACTGGGGTGGGTAGAGAAGCACGGGGCTCGGGGGAGTGGATGCCTTGGGCCCTGGAATATTACTTATTTTGCTTTTCCAAAGTGACTTCTTGAAAACGTCTCAAGTACTCGGAGTGGAGAAAGCAGAAGGAGTGCCTTGGCGTTCCAAGAACTAACAGGGCCAAGCCATCCGGCGTCTGTGTGCAGGAATGCAGGCGGGAAGGGCTGAGAGAAAGCACAGATGCCCCACGAGGCAGCGGGGTGGGATGCCCAGACGCGACGCTGGGATCACTGGTCAAGGTGCAGGAAACGATAACTCAGAGCCGGGGCTTCCCTGGACCCTAGGGCAGGGGCGGGATCAGCTTCAAAGATGGCTTGTTTGCACTTGTATGGGGGAGGGAGGACCTGTGTGTCCACTGGTGACTGCTTCCTTTTCCAGCCACAGAACTTTCCCTCGACCCTCAAAACGCATAAGCCCAGCTCTCACAAAGTTCCCAAGGAAAGCCCACTTTGGCAAATCCCAAGGGAAATAAATGACAAATCAGAAATGCCCATGCACGGGCAGCACAGCACGCTGGGGTTTAGCACGGGCTCCGTGCAGCCAAATATGTGCCGTGTGCGACAGACTCCCTTGGAATCATAAATGAAAGGGACAGCAAAGGATCTAAAGATCAAGGAAGTTGCCCCACCAGACACCCGAGGAATGACCCAGGGGATTTTCCAGTTTACTTGTCAGAAATAACACAACACAGCAAACCAAGACGTCCAAATCTCATATCCACAGAGCCGATGGCGGCACATCTGGAATGTTCCACAGATGCACAGGCTAGACAGACTCTTGAGGAGAATCTGAAATTCCAGCAGTTGAGAGACAAAACTGCACCCACGTCTTCTCGGTGGCTACGGTGGAGATGCAGTCTGGGGCTTGCCACTGGGCACGAGCCACCAGAGGACCTGCCCATTGGAGGGTCCTGGGTTGGGCAGAGCCTTGGAGACAAGGCCGGTGGAGCACTGAACATAACTAGTGGCACTTGCTGCCTTTTGGAGGCCACATGGGTGGAAACCATTCCATTGCCCTATCATGCTCTGGCCTCAGGAATGTGCAGCTCCCAAATTGAGAAGCTGGACTGTGGCACAGGGGACAGGGCAGTGCTGCGCTTCAGAGCTCTTGAGTTTCCTTTATGTTATTTCTGCCAAGTATTAGGAAAGGAGCTTCCAGGTCAGCTGTGTAGCACAACTCCCAGGCCTCCATTCTCACAGAACACAGCACAGTCTGGTGTGGACAGCACCACCTGGAGTGTGCGATGCGCTCTCCTTTGCGCTGCACCCCCTAGTTTGAGAGATTTATAATGTCCGCTAGCATGGTAAAGGCTCTCAGAAGTCCTGCAACAAATAATTAAACCAAAACCAAAACAAAAATAAATTTGGTTTAACCTAGTTTTTTCATCTTTTAAAGCCATGGAACCCTCCTTCAGAAAACAGCTCCTAACAGCCCATGGGCTGGGGTCATACAGCATGTACCTAAATGTCACCTCATTCAGTTCTCTGAGACATCCTTAGAGCCGACTCAGGTTTGGACCTGGCGAGACTCCCCCTCACCACGACTTTGAACCTGCCTGTGTTCAGAAAGGGCCTCAGGAGGCCCAAAAGGGTCTCCGTGCTCAGCTGCTTTCTCTGTAACACAATCTTCTGTGGAAACAACAAGGACATCTATGGATCTGGGGCTGCCACAGCCAGTCATGACCACCTCTGGCCACCTGGACACGGGCACCCTAATATCCAAGGCACTCACCATTTGCCTTTAACAAGAGATGGACGGGGTAGGAGAGGCCAGTGTGTTCTCGCTCTGGAGACCAGACCAGCCCTAGGTGCAGAGTCAGCTGGGGAAAATGATCCGGCTCTGCACTGACACTCATTTATTTATAAAGCACCTCTTCTCCAATACAATTGATCCCCCAAGGCCTCACGTGGAGAGGGGTCTGGTTACCACCATGCTTCATTGATCCATCACGTTCTGCCTTAGTTAATTCTCTACATGATTGCCCCCTTGAAAATAAGCACCAAAACTTTATCTTCACTACTGTGAATGTACATTGTTCACGGATGGATTGTATGCAGGTGTCCCTTTCAAAACACAGCACCACGATCCTAACTCAACCTGTGCTTGATTATTCAGAATCAGACGGATCAATTATTAACAGAGCAATACCTAGAGGTCAGCCTTGTAAGGCATGGGGGGCAGGATGACCCCACAAGAAGTGGCCCCAGAGGTCTTTGCTTGGTGAGTTCAGGGGACATCTTTGATCGATTGTCTCCCTAGAGATTGAGTATGCAGAATACTAGAAGTCACAGAGCCCCCAGATAACCTGGCTTGTCAAGACGTTTTGTGGAGTAAAGGTCAACAGCCTCTGACTATGCAGCAACGGATATTTCTGGCACCACAGAGTCTGAAATTTAGTACCCGGTCTTGATGGTAATTATTGTGGCTGTTTTGAAGCTTTTACTTTACTTCCTACCCCTTGGCTGGGCTCCTGAGAGTTAATTTTCTGAAATAATTGAGGTTTCAGGGTATATCAGATGCTACTGCCTATAAAATACAAGACTGGAACTGGGAATGACAGCCAGTAATTTAGGTTTTTCCTTCTTCTATTAAGAAAAAACTCCAGTCGCTTAACTGTACACTTTAAAATAAGGTAAAGAGTGTCATGGGATTTGCAACTCAATGGATAAATGCTTGAGGGGATGGATAGCCCATTCTCTATATGTGCTTATTTCACTTTGCATGCCTGTCTCCAAACATCTCATGTACCCCATAAATATATATACCTGCTATATATCCACAAAAAATTTTTAAAAGAAAAGTAAAGATAAAGAAAGTCCAACAGCCTGTTTTTCTGTCTGGATCCCCCAAGGCAAGGCTGCTCTGCTCCCCCCACCCTCTCCGACCTCCCAATGCACCTTGTGGCTCCCAGGTGAGTCTCAGCAATGTGGTTGGTCCTTCCTCCCTGAGATCCTGGACCAACACCTCATCACAGCTGCTCCACAAGACTACCCTCTGGCCAGACCCCTTGCCCACAAACGGGCACCTACAGACTCACACAAAGCCTTCTCTGCATCTTTTCCTTGGCCCAAACCACCCATCAGCTGGGCTCACCACAGCGGAAGCCCACTGCTTCCTTCCCATCAATGCGCATCTCTGTTTCACCAGCACAGGGTACAGAAGTGCCCGCAGTCTGCCTGCAAGCTGTTCTGATAAAGCCACTTTTCAATGAGCTTTCTTCTTCCTTTTCCTCCCTCTTCCTCCCTCAAAATATACAAAAGAGGGCTATAAAGTGGGATTTTTTTTCTGTACAGGAATGAAAGGAGGTTAGCTTTCCTTCCTTTCTATTTTCTTGGCCTCAGTCTAAATTTGGCAATTGGAAAGAGTGTGGAAGCAGTTAAATGGACCCAGTTCATGACCCAGGGGATGCCGGGTTGCCCTCATTTGCTTTTTCCATGGGGGTGATTCTGGATGGGGGCATCTAAAATTGTGACTACTTCCCCTCTGCAACTACTGCTGGGAGGTAATTCTTGCACAGAGCTGGGGGTGGCTTTCAGAGTCATATTATTCAACCTCCTTAAATTAAGATAGGGACACTGAGGCCCAAAGAGGTTAAGGAATCTGTAGGCCATGCAGTGAACTTCCTGGGCAGAGATGCTTCAGGGCACCATCCTTACAGCCAGTGACAAAACTCAAGCGTCTTACCATCATCCAAGTAGGTCTGGTCCAAGTTCTGCTCCTGTTTAATGGTCACCCCCGCAGGTAATACTTCCTTTTGGTCACTGACCGGGGGTCCGTTTTTGGCGGCTCTTTGGCTCGTGGCATTCTGCTGCTGAATGACTGTGGGGTAGGAACCCGGGCTCAGCCTCTGACCTTGACTGACCGGGGGCGGGCCAGGCCTGGTGGTGCCTGGTGCGAAATTCTCGCAGTACATGATGTGCTGGAACTCCTGGTGGCTTCCGCAGCGCAGCTGCTGATTGGTGGGTGAGTAGTGGATCACAGGCGAGGCCTGCTGATTGGTCGGAGAGGGGTGGAGCAGGGCGGAGCTCTGGCCCTGGGAGCCGGCGTGCACCAGCACAGAGCGGTGAGCGTCCGCAAGGGACAGTGGGGCGGCCATGAGGGCCGGCTGCTGGTAGCCCAGCAGGCTGGGGCTCAGGCTCTTGCTCCGCTGGTAGAGTACGGCCGCTGGGTTCTGTTGCTGGTAGCGGGCGTCAGGGGATGAGAGCCCCGTGCGGAACTGCTGGCAGGGAGCCATGGTGGCCACGAGGCAGGAGGGGGACTCGGCCACCATCGGGTGCTGGGGGTAGTAAGGCTGGTTCCCCAGGCCTCCATGGGTGGGGCTGCAGATCAGAGTGGGGTCATATTCATCCGTGGGCTCCGTCTTGATGGCTGGGACTGGGAGGAGAAAAGAGCACATAGGGGCACCCATGGCAGTGGGCCACGGATGTGCACGGAGGATTCGTGGACGGTGCTTGGGAACATGGCTTTGGGAGTCCATACGGGTGGGACAAACAGTTGGTCCCCGTTCCTTATCAGCCTTGGACAAAAGGTTCCCCGTGCAATTGTCTTAGGTAGGAAACTTTACCCTGGCAATGAACATCCTGAATTATAGATTTCTCCAATCTTGGAAAAGTGGCTGGTAGGTCTGACTCAGCCCTGGGATTTTACAGCCTCTTTCTCCAGGTGACAGCTCGGAGGAGAACGCTTGATTTCAGATGATGCCTCCCCCTCTTTCTACCCCAGCAGCTCCTGTCTCCGCTTGCTTTCCTTTCTACTGCTTATCCCCGTCTGACATGTCATAGATGCTTTACCTGCTGATTTATTACCTAAATACGCCCCTCCTCCAAATGTCAGCTCCTCAGAGAGAGGACTTTGGTCTGGTTTTTGATCCTCATGGCCCAAAACAGCACCTGGTACTTAATAGGCACTCAGATATTTTCCAGACAAAGGAATGAGCAAATAGTGACTGTTCCCTTCCTCTGTTCTGTAGCGCTTTGGGGGAATGAGCACTACTGGCTCAAGCCTCAGTTTCCCCATCTGTTACCTGGCAGGAACAATCATACCTACCCCCACGGGATCATTGGGAAGATTAAATAAGATGTGTGTGCAAAGCACTGAGCCCAGTGGCTGGCATACAGTAAGTGCTCAATGCTTGCTGTCGCTGCTATTCTCTTACTAGGATCATCCATCATGACTACCACTTGTGTTGTCGCTGTGGCCATTCCTTTCTCCCTGCCCAGCACCAATCACTGAAATCACTCTTTCCCCAGCATCCATACTAAAGCATTACCAATCCCAGGAGTTGAGGCATCAGTTTTCTTTTTACTGGAGTAAATGAATCAGTAACAGGACTATGACCAAGTCTGCATGTGCCTGCGTGTGTGTGTGTGTGTGGTGGGGGACCTCCAAGTATTGGGGATTGGAGGAGATAAGGAGACTAGGCAAGGCTGTCTCTAACCACAGAAATTGTCCCTTGAGGTGCCATTCAAAGGCCGTCACCTCACTCCCTGGCCCAGCTGGGAGACTGAGATCTCACTCTAGCCATGCTCAGCCAGACAAGAGCCAAGGCTGGGCCACAAATCAGAGGAGAGAGCACAGGAAACATAATTGAGAGCCTGTCTGCTCAAAGGGATTCCTGAGCTGCAGTCTGGAGCCCTCCCAGCGATCTCCCACAGTTTTGGGTCCTGGTGACCTGAACCCTGCCCCTGATAGAGCATCACGTCAGTCCCAGGACAGCAGTGTCCTCACACGGGTCAACACAAAACTGTGGGCACAAGTCAAGCTCACCAAGGCAAGGCTGCCAGGGCACCCCTCAGTTTAATGCTTCCAGCAGCCCAGAGGCTCCCTGAGAAACTGCCATAGGATGGAAATTATACCCTGGGTGATTGTCTCCAATTATAGGTTTCCAATCTTGGAAGGTAGCTAGCAGGCCTTTCTCAGCCTGGGAAGTTACAGCCTATTTCCCAAGGGAGAGCTCAGAGAAGCATTTTTAAAATGTAAAATTATGCTTCCCCTGGCTGCTCCTGTCCACCTTTTCTGCCGCCACAATCATAATCCAGCATACCAATAATATCAACATCATCTATGACCTAATCCCCTCTGTTAGAATGGCAGTTCCACATGGACAGGGATTCTTACCCTGTCGTGTTCACAGCTGTGTCCACAAGCCAAGAACAGTGCCTGGCACTCAAATAGTTTCTGGACAAATGAATGAATGAAAAAATGGTACTCATCACCTTTCTTGGGGTTGTACTTTGTGGGACTAAGACCTCCTGACCCTGTTATCCACCAGTCACTCCATTAGGCCTTGGGGTGATGACCCACATGGGGGGGTCACATAAAGATTCTGCAGGTTTTAGGGCATAGCCCCTCTATCATGATCAAATCGAAGCCAGGGACAGGAGTCAGCCACTTAGCACCCTTCTGTTAAACATGCATACACACACCCTTCTTCTATTCCCCCTTCCCCCAAAGAAAAGTACTAAGGCAGTAAGAGCTAATATCACTGACATCAGCTTACTTTGCACTGTGCTAAGGATTTATGTGCATTTAATTTCCAGGACCCTTATAAGGAAGATGCTGTCTCACAGATGATGCAACAGAGGCTCAGAGAGGTTAAGTCATCTGGCCAAAGTTACCCGACTAGGAGCAGACTTCAGGAGTCCTGAGCCCCATGCCTTTACCGCCTCTCAATACCAAAGGGGTCGTCAAAGACACTCCTTACCTGGGTGGTAGGTAAAGTGCTGAGGCTGACTTCGTTTTCTCTTCCCATTGATGACGTAGAAGTTCACTTTTACAGGTGTGCGGATGTGCTTGTTCCGATATTCAGGGATCTCAACAAAAAGCATGTTCTGGAAGGAAGGAGTTGTCATGAACTTAACTGCAATCATGCCTCAGTTCCTACCCAGACCCTGAGTGCATCCCGGCAGCCCACTGTCTAATGGGTGTTTTGATGTGCCTTTCACAGGTTTCCAGTGGAAATTCAATTTCCGGGGAATTTAACTTCTCAGCAGCAGCAAAGAAAAATACTCCATCAAAATATAATAAGGTGTCACAGTTATAAATCAGAGAGCGTGGTGCTCAATAAATGTTGAATTCACTCATTAATATGCACATATTGAGTACCTGTTAGGTCCAAAGCTCTGGGGAACACTGATGAAGGAAGGAGGGAAAGAAGGAAAGAGCATGAAGGAGGGATACGTGAGGGGGACTGAGACACTCAGCTGCCTGACAGTCAGTGCGTCACGTGCTTACGGGCTGGCTCTTGTCCTTATCCACCGTGGCTTCCATCTCCCAGATTTGCTGCCCATCTAGAAAAATTCAAAAATGACAGACTTTGAAGGAACTATTAGAAACCAAAGATTTAAGACAAAAACTCACCAACTTCTGTTTATCTTAGCTTACGTATTATGTCATTTCAGTGAGGTGTGTGTGTGTCAATATGTGCACGTGTGTGTATATATGTATTTATACATATGAATATTTCCTTTTTCCAAAAGGAAGACATGGTGTCAATAGAAAACAAGGCAACATCGTCCTAAGTAAATTAAGGCAGGAACAGAAAACTCAACACCACATGTTCTCATTTATAAGTGAGAGCTCAGCATGGGGTATACACGGACATGAAGATGGGAACAGCAGATATTGAGGACTAATGGAGGTGGGAGACAGGGACCAGGGCAGGGACCAGCGATCTACCAGTTGGGTACTGTGTTCACTGCCTGAGTGACAGCTCATTCATACCTAAACCTCCGTGTCATGTAATATACCCATGTAACAAACCACATGTACTTCCCAAATCTAAAATAAAAGTGGAAGTTATATTTTTAAAAATTAAAACATAAAATAATGTTGATAGCCAAAAAGAAACAGGGCAACAACAGAAAACAAGAAAAAAAATAGAAACTGTCCAGAATCCTATTATCATTTTTTTCTCCATATCTGAATGTCCATATTTCTTTCTTAAAAAAAAAAAAAAAAAAAAAGCATTATTAAGGGCTGGGCATGGTGGCTTATGCCTGTAATCCAAGCACTTTGGGAGGTCAAGGCAGATGGATCCCTTGAGACTAGGAGTTTGAGATCAGCCTGGCCAGCATGGTGAAACCCCATCTCTACTAAAAATAAAAATACAAAAATTTGCCAGGTGTGGTGGCATATGCCTATAATCCCAGCTACTTGGGAGGCTGAGGCAGGAGAATTGCCTGAACCCAGGAGGCGGACATTGCAGCAAACCAAGATTGCACCACTGCACTCCAGCCTGGGCAACAGAGTGAGAACTCGTCTCAAAACAAGTAAATAACTAAATAATTTTTAAAAGCATTGTTATATGTTATACTTTATTATATGCCGAAGCTGTTAAAGAAGCACAATGACAGGTCCCTGACTGTCCCAGACGTGCCTTCTTGGTGGTCTGAGAACACAGGCTTAAAGATGCGGCCCCAAGTCATGAGAGAAGCCAGTGACTTCAGTGGTGTCCTGGCTCACAAGTCACTGAAGAGCAGAAAGACAGGGGCTCACCCTCCACCTTTCCTCAGCAGACAGCCTGGATCTCATGTCAGTCCTAACAACTGATGAAGAGGTTTTGCTCAGTAAACTCTCCTGTCCAGAAGCAGAACACTACTTCCCCAGTTTGGGTCCAAGAAGTTGGGCCAAAAAAAAAAAACACCTCTGCATTTGCAAATAATTGATTTCTCTTGCTGACCACCTATACTGGTCATTGGGTAGTTTTTAGCTGAAACAAATCATTTCAACAAGTATTTCCAGGATGTTTTGTGGAACACTGGTTCTGAAGGATATTAAATAGTTTTATGAGAAGTGGGAAAAATTCTACATGCTAATAAGCATTTGGAAACTGCTGAGTCAAAGTCGAATGGCTTTCTTCACTGCAGGACTTCTCAGAGGCTTTAACATGTTGCCGTGCAGAGTTGAACCCCTCCCTACTTTTAAGCACAACTATTCGCATCTTCTGTGATTGCTGAGGTTTGAACCCATATAGTCTTGGCTCTTAAGATTCACCCAATGAAATCTGGGTTTCAAGCATTACTTAAACATACTCCCAGCCCCTCCCCCATGAAAAATTAACATAAAGTCTTGTGATTGCTCTCTAGATGATCTTAACAAGGAACAAGCAATGAACACACTAGAGCCCTTTGTAACAATTAAGTCTGTAAGTCCTGACCTTACAGCGCAATCCCTGAAATGACTCAGCAAAACATGGGCTATGTTAAAAGGGAAGAGAACAGGTGGTTCATGTACTGACTCTCACTCTAGTGTTCCTTGGTCCCTGCCGAAGGGACCAAGTCATATTCATCACCATCTCCCCAACACTCGCAAATGCCTAATCAACATCTCATGAGTGAACAGACAGAAGTGTCAGTGGCTCCAACGGCTGCTGGTGAGGCCAAGAAAAAGCCAGAGGCTAACATCAGACATGCCCCCTGTTTTCTCAGACAACTGAGCAGGCATGTCTGATGCTCAAAAGGAAGCAAGGGAAGATCGCCGGATGGACATCGAGGAATTGGAAGCAAAGTCATCAAGACCTGAGTCCTTTCAGTGTGCAAAGTCCTGTATAGAACTGGTCAGGACAATCCTCATTTCTTTGTCAAAGACAGGTCAAAGACCACCCAACAGAGACACATGTCCCCTTTTCAGGTAGAGGTCACCACCAGGAGCGTGACTGTACAGACCAGACTAGGGTCTTCATCCAAAAGTGTGTTTTCATCCACAACTGCAAAGTGAGCTTGAAGCCTGAAGATTGAGTAAGAAATGAACAGAGGAAATGGTAACATGTTGCTGTTTGGTTTGTCACCCACTCCCATAGCCTCTCCTTGCCTGAACTGAATTATTGAATTTTGCCACCAACAGTATCATTTCTTTTTCCACTTATATGAGCTTGCTTTGAAAAAAAAAAAAAAAGGATCATTTTCAGAAGTTCATAATGGGGAGGAAAGGGAGAAAATAGTACCTGGAAATGTGGTCAGTAAGTATTAAGTAGGACCCATGAAGCTTCCATTCCCAGCTCTCTTCCTAGGCTCACACCAATAGCGGCAGATGAAACAGAAAATACAAAATGGCGGTGCAACGAAAAGGGCGTCACCAAGAGGAGAGTTCTCGTGGACTGTCCTCTCCGGGTCAAGGGACGCAACACGAAGAAGACCTTTTCCTACCTCTGGTAAGTGTACATGGCAGACAAAACTGCACCCACTGACAGCCACAGAATTCCAGCACACAGGTTCCTGAGAGTACCCTTAGAAACTAGCCAGCCCCACACCGGCAGATGAGGAAACTGAGGCCCAGAGAAGCAAGGGGGCTGTGCAAAGACCCACAGTAGTTATTAAATCACAGCCTTTAAGCAACAACTGACATAATCTAATAACGAAGGAGATGGCTTCAAAGACAGGTCAAGGTTGTTACACGAGAGAAGCTCACCAGATCACTGCGAGGCTAGAAGGTTACTGGGAGGCTGGAGAAAGATTTCATGGGGGTGGGATCTTTGTAGGGTCACTTACCACAAAGATTCATGCAGATGCAGATCTCAAGCCCTTCCCTGCTTTGCTGTGCCCTCAGGATACTGTGGAAGCTTCACTGTGGCCCCCAAGGCCCTACACAACCCGGCTCCTACCCTCATTCCAGCCTCTCCAGGCACTGTTCTTACCCAACTCTTCTGAGCGCTCACTACATGCCTGGCATCACTCTAAGCACCTCATATACACTGGCTTGTCTCATCTGTACAGCACCCGTAGGAGGCAGGTCTCCTCACCCCATTTTATAGGGGAAGACATCAGGCACAGAGAGGCAAGAGCACAGGCCAAGGTCACACAGCCAGACCCTGTGGGGAAGCCGGATTGGAACCCAGGCAGCCTGGCTTCAGAGTCAGTGCTCCTCGTGCAGTTTCAGATCCCTGTGCCTTGCAGCTCCTCCACCTAGTTCCCCTCCTCTGTGCTCCAGCCACAGCAACCAGCCCTTCCTCGGGACGCCCCACAGTGAGGCGGTGAGCCGCCACATCCCACAGCCTCCCAGAGCCCGGTAAGTGTGGCTCAGGGAAAGATGTCCATGGCGGGCAGGGGGGAAGTCCTGCCCTCTCCAGTGTTCTCTGCCAGGCCTTCCACAACACGCTGACTGGAACCCTGAGCCTTCGTGGGCATGTCCTGCAGCCACAACCAATTTCTGTCACCCCAGCGCTCTGCCATTTTACTCCTGTGTACCCCAAATTTCGGAGCAGACACACTCAGCTTCAAATCCCTGACTACCCCCAATGATTTGTGAGACCTTAGACATGACACGATCTCTCTCCCTGCCTCTTATCCAACGTATGGAGATAATTATAGTACCCATAACTTATGGGGTCATTCTGAAGATTAAATATGGTAACAGGCCCAAGCAGGGTATTATATAAATGTTCGGGGCCGGGTGCAGTGGCTCACACCTGTGATCCCAGCACTTTGGGCGGCTGAGGCGCGTGGATCACCTGAGGTCAAGAGTTCGAGACTAGCCTGGCCAACATGGTAAAACCCTGTCTCTACTAAAAATACAAAAAAGTAGTCGGCGTGGTGGCGTGCGCCTGTAATCCCAGCTACTCGGGGAGCTGAAGCAGGAGAATCTCTTGAACTCGGAGATGGAGGTTGCAGTGAGCTGAGATCGTGCCATTGCACTCCAGCCTGGGCAACAAGAGAGAAACTCCGTCTCAAAAAAAGAAAAAAAAAAAGTTGCAACAGACGGGATGGTACGGTTATTACAGCTAGTTGGCAAGACAGTATTTCAACACTGTCTTTATCATTTGTTGCAGTATATTCCACAATGTGTTAATACTGAGAAAAACACAAGCATTTTAAAATCAGAAAATAATACAACACTTTTCACAACTGCATGTTTCTGCTTGCAGGTACTTCGCTGCCTACGGTGTTTGGACTGGCAGGCGAATTTATGAAGCGACGGGTCTGTTATGGAGGACTGGCAGGGCCACCGTGGCCTGATTTTGCTGCTTTCCAAGCTGGGTCTTTTCAACCAGTTAAACTTTTAAAAAACACACAGGAGAAAAAGACCTCACAGGCAATAAAATCAAACTTAAACATGAGCCCAAGGGGCCTATCTTCATTTCTGTTTGCCCACCCTTTGGTACCAGAAGCTCCAAGGGCAGCCCAGGAATCTGGCCTGACCTGTACTCTCTCATGGAGGGGCTGCACTCAGTTCTGGACAAACAAGTGCCCCAACAGGAAGGTGATAAATCCACACCATCGTCGCTTCTCGATGTTTTTTTTTTTTTTTTTTTTTTTTTTTTTGTTTGAGACGGGAGTCGTCCCGCTCTGGTCGC